TACAAGGGGTACAAATAATGGCGAAAGTGTTGTGTGTGGAGAATGTACAAAGAGGACGAACGGTAATCTTTGTTTTGGGGTTATTATTTAATTTTCCTTACTGCTATAATTCTATGAATGTCTATGACTGAGATTAGAATTCCCGCTACTTTTGTCTTTGTTTTTATGCTTTACATATTTACTTATATGTTCTGTTTAACACACACAGATAGATATACATGTAAAAATTCAGATATAAAAAAAATATACCTGTGAAAACGGTATACAACGTTGTAATCAATTCAACGGGATAATGCCACTAAGACTCAATGTGTTACTTAGAATAAAGGAGAATGAGAAGACATTACTGTGGAGAAAGGACAATAAAAGACCAGCTTTCAGGAATACAGAAGATGGCGATAATGCCGCTAAGACGTAAGGGTTACCGGGAATGAAATAGAATATTAAGACAATATTGAGGGTAAAGGACATTGAAAGAACAGGTTTCCAGAAGAGAGAAGGCGTTACTGCCATTAAAAGCACAAGGGGTTACTGAGAGTGAAAGATAATAGGAGATTTGTGAGAAGAAAAGACAATAAAAGAACAGCTCTCAGGAAGAGAGAAAATTACAATACTGCACTAAGACACAAGAGCTACTGAGTATTAAAGAGAATGGTGAGATATTAAGGAGAAAGGATAATAAATTAACAGGTTTCAGGAAGAGAAAAAATGGCGATACTGCCAGGAAGAGACAAAGGGTTAGAGAAAGAATGATAAGATTTTTGTCAGGAGAAAAGAAAATAAAAGAACAGGATCCAGGAAGACAGAAGATGGTGATAATGCCACAAGACATAAGTGAGTACTGGGAGTGAAATAAAATGAGAAGACTTTAGTGAGGAGAAAGAACAGGTTTCTGGAAGAGAAAAAATGGCGATAATGCCACTAAGACACAAGGGGGTTACTGTGAGTGAAAGAGAATAAGAAAACTTTAGTGAGGAGAAAGGACACTAAAAGAACAGCTTGCAGGAAGGCAGAAGATGGCGATAATGCCACTAAGACGCAAGGGGTTACTGGGAGTGAAATAGAATGAGAAAACTTTAGTTAGGAGAAAGGGCAATAAAAATAACATGTTTCAGGAAGGCAGAAGATGGCGATAATGCCACTAAGAGGCAAGGGGTTACTGGGAGTGAAAAAGAATGAGAAAACTTTAGTTAGGAGGAAGGGCAATAAAAGAACAGATGTCAGGAAGACAGAAGATAGCGATAATGCCACAAATGCATAAGGGGTTATTGAGTTTCATTGAGAATAATAAGACATTACTGAGGAGAATAGAAAATAAACGAGCGGGTTTCAGGAAGACAGAAGATGGCGATTAAATTCGCGTGTAAAATTTTGATGATCTTAAGTTGCAGAAGAGCAAGAAATCGGAAGAAAAAATCTGCAGGCGAAAAGTTCGAGAGTTTAGTTCTATCTATTTCACCAGTAAAACGATGAGATATTGTTTCTTGAGGCATAGTGTCAACACGACTCGTTACAAATCACAAATCAAAGAATCACGACAGAGTAAATGTCATCAAGTTATTTATCTTTGGTTGCAACTGCAATTTCCCCAAGCGCTCTGAAAAGTTTTAGTTGGTATTTCAAACGTAGTCATTAACAGTAATGTTCCATCACATTTTCCAAATCTCTAACCAGATCCTGGTATTATTTCGTTGAACGTTTATTATTATTATTGAGTTTGGTATCATCTTGCCAGTGAGTAATTTTAAGCGAATAATTGCCAAGTTCCTTCTAAGATATATGAGAAAAACGGTACAGTAGGTGAGTTACACCCTTGTGCAAAATAACTGAAACAACCGCTTTAGTCTCCTTTCTTTCACCATACCACTAGACCCATTGAAGTGACAGGGTGGAATTGATTTCTATTTTCCCCTAGATTAGGTCATTTGCTGTGGTGTGCAGTAATATGAATCAATTTTCGGGATGTATGATGAAATTTGTTTGGCCTTAAAATATATTGCGTCATTCGTCATTGCATCAGATTTTTATCACGCCCAGACACTATTGTCTCGATTGTCGATTAGTTATCCTATGGAAATTGTATGCGATGGACGTTACACCAAGGAAGCCTGCGAAAATTGTAATGACGCACGAACACACTGGCAAGCCTTATCAATGTGCAAATCAAAGTACTATAGATTGGCCCGGGAACTATCCTGATTTAAATCCAATCAAAAACCTGTGGACAATCTGCAAGGAACGACATCGTAGAAGGGACATACGAAGTACTAAAAAGTGCACTAGGTTATATTTCACTGGAGACATGAAACAAGTGTAAATAATAACGGAATTATTTGTTTTGTTTCAATTAATTTACACAAAGGTTGTATGAACCAGAATACACATTCGACTTTCTCTTGCAGTGTTGTGCCATTTTCATTAATAGTCAGAGATCAATAATAAGTACTTTTAACATCTAGCTGAAAAGACAAACGAAAATGAATTAAAAAAATAACAAACTATATATAAATTAAAACTTTAATAACATTTATTTTACACGTAAAGAAGTTTATTGAAGAATATTAACACTAATGGATACACTAAACTGTGGAAGTTGTACAATAATTTATGGACAGCCTGTATATAGATATAAACAGACTGAAATAGATAAATTGATATGAAAAAGTGATATTATTCAATGATTAACAATAGTTTAAGCAGAATAGACATTAACTAAAATCTTTGCGTCTAAGCTTAATGGAACCTACACTCGGCTGCTGAGAGCCATACTTAATATCTCTTGGAGACAATATCCAAAGAAGTCATAGCTCTATGGACCCATCCCTGATCTGACGAGCAGATCAAGAACAAGAACATCTGTTTAACACTTTACTTATATTTTTTTACACGGTTTAATCAATTAAGTGCTAAAAATGTCCTCTTCAGACATCGCAACATTCCTTGAACCTCTCCAGAACACTATGACACACAGCACGATACAAATCCTGATCTGCATCAGTTTAAATAAATACTTCTGAGATATATGCTATTAATTCGTCCACTGTGTGGGGATTTCTCTCATAAAACAAGTTCTTTACTACACATTCCCCGCTAAAAAAGAATCCATTGGTTTTAGGTCAGGTGAATGCGGCGGTAATTCAAGGTTGCCCCTTCTTCTGAAGCAACGCTGTGGAAAAGGTTTGGTTAAGGTAGTCCTTTATTATCAAATCATAATGGGAAGGTTCTCGATCGTGGAATTATTATTGGGATAAATTAGATCTAAAATTGGAAACAAATAGTGAAATAACTGTAAGCCTATTTTTTACCCCTATATATATATATATATATATATATATATATATATATATATATATATATATATATATATATATATATATATATATATATATTCATGAATCATTCATACAAAAAACAAATATAGAGGTTAATGATTTAAATGGCGAGAATACATCATCGCAAACAATATAAATAAGATACACCAACCCCGAACCTGTATATGAATGATATGATCCCTGTTTATAAATTCCAGTTGCATAAGGGCTTTTTAATCTTTTACAAGCTTTCGCCTGTTCCTATAGACATCCTCAGGTATGGAAATAGATTTTCTTCTTGTTTTTACTTCTCGGTAATAAGAGGACAACGATGTAATCCGAAAAAATGCTATGAGAAATGTGTTATTGTTTTGCAACGTACGGTCGCAACGCTGAGTTTGAATTTAAATTGTGGGTTGTGCGTTTTTTGTACAAATATTCCAAAACAGACGCACCTTTTAATTGAAATATATATATATATATATATATATATATATATATATATATATATATATATATATATATATATTAATGCGTTATGCCTCTGTACATTTGTTTAACACATTACTTACATGTTTAGCACAGTTTTTTGTTCTATTAAGTGCTCAAAATGACCGCCTAAAACATCAAAACATTCCTCGAAACATTCCTCGCAATTCTCCAGTCGTCCTGGGAAAGACAATATACTACATCCACCAGCAAGGCTTCTTATCAGGAGGTTTTGAGGATCGTGAAACTACCTCTTAATTGTCGGTGTGGTAGCACCTGTTAGGGTCCCAACTATGGTCAAATAGTTAACACACAAACTGGGATCAAAACTGGGTTTTAATACCAGAAATACTTTGCAAAAACAATTATTACCAGGTATACATTTTTTAAAAAAGTATTACCAGCGATATATTTTTGAAGGAAAAATATTCCCAGGAATAGATTTTTTTGAAGGAAAAAATATTACCAGAAATTGTTTTTTGAAGGAAAAAATATTACCAGGAATAGATTTTTGAAGGAAAAAATATTACCATGAATAGATTCTTTTGAAGAAAAAATATTCCCAGATATAGATTTTTGAAGGAAAAAATATTACCAGCAATAGTTTAGAAAAAAAAAATATTACCGACAATAAAAAATTTTGTCGGCATTAAATAACTCATTGAGGTTGATATGCTTTAAAACAAACTGAACCAAACCAAGAACCTCCCCAGGAAACTATGACACAGTACGACACAGATTATTTCATTGAATTATTATTATTATTATTATTATTGAGTGTGGTATCATCTTGCCAGAGAGTCATTTTAAGCTCATAATTAGTCCTCTGGTGTATATAAGTAAAAAGAGCACTTTCTGTGAACATTTGGATGCCTAGTTTAGATGGAGTTGTTTTCGGATGGTATTTGCATTTCCTCCCATAGTAATCTTTAGGAGCTCTGAGATGTGTCCAGGAATTTTACTCACACTTCTTTATCATACCCAACACCCCTATTACAAAAGGGATGATCGCAGATTTAACTTATCACATTTTTTTTATTTCGATTTACAGGTCCATATAATAGTTTTTGAAATTCTTTTTTTTTTTTTTTTTTTAGAAATTTTGGAATCCTGTGCGCAAGCCATATTAATTGGTTGGCAGGTTCCTTTTTTAAAATCTTTAACGTCTATGTCTGGTGTATTTGCTTCAGTCTTTTATCC